CAGGGAAGCTCAGTTCGTGGCCACTGGAGCATGTGGCCATTCACATCATGACACAGATAAGGAAGCAGTGTGGACAGGATAGGAGTCCAGGACTGCGTATAATCTTCAAAGGTCTGGCCCCGGTGACCTACTTCCCCATCTAGACACCCAAACATATCACTGCCATCTCGGGACCAAGCACTCAAAACATGAACCTTGAGGGGTGCATATCAAATTCAAACTATAAAAAGTGAACTAGAAAAATTTCACAATGGGATGAGAAAGGAACCAAATGAGCCAAAGGTGGTGTTTCCAGTATGGCAGCAGTTATTTGACCTAAGGGTATACTTAGTTTCCATGAACCCCAGTTTCTCAATTTGTATTAGGGGAGAAAATAAAGTGTATTATTGCTTTATAGGGCAAGAATCTAACAGGCAATAAATACAAAAGGGTTTTATATTCTTTAAATGCCATTCAGATGGTATGATCTCTGCCAGCATTGAAGTTTATTATTAGTAAACCAAACATTGACTGCACCTCACCTCCAGCACCAAACCCATATCTAGTCCTGAGCTTTTGAAAAGAAAAAATATTGACCTTATATGTATGCTGAAGAGAAGGAAAGAAAAGAATATACCAGGTGTGATTATAATGTTCTTTCAGATGAAACAGCCATGTTCCAGTGGAATACTTCATATAATAAAATGTAGCCAGAGGCGAGTGTGTGAATCAACAGGAGCCCTTGTGACCTGTTGGCTCACATTCCCACACTGTGAAATGGTGCTGCTTCCTTGAAATGTAGTATGCTAGTTACTCAAAACATTCAAAACAAAGCTCTTGCCATTCCACTGAGCATACACCCAAAAGAATGGACTCAATATTTACTCACAAATGTTCGTAGTGCATTATTCACAATAGCCAAAATGGGGAATCAAACCCAAGTGGCTGTGACTGAATGAATAAACAAAATGTGTTTTATACATGCAATATGATATTATTCTGCCTTAAAGAAATTCTGACACATGTGAAAACATGAATGAATCTTGAGGACTTTATGCTGGGAAATAATCCAGTCATCATAAGAGAAATATCAGGTGCCTAGACTAGCCAAATCCCTAGAGACAAAAACAGAATTGTGATTGCAGGGGTAGGAGTAGTGCAGGGTGCAAAGAACTGGGAGTTATTATTTCTTAGATACAGAGATTCTATCTTGTAAGATGGAAAGGCTTCATTGGATGGACCAGATGATAAGTACATAACAAATGTACTTAACACTGCTGACTTGCACCCTTAACAATGGCTACAAGGTACATTTTATGTTGTGTATGTATCACAGGTTGTATGTGTGTGTATAATGGGTAACATACCTGTGTGTGTCCATGGTCATATGTGTTTTTGTGTGAGTGTATGTGAGTGCTTACACATGCCACAGTGCATGTGTGGAGGTCAGAGGGCAACGTTGACTGCTGTGTACACCAGGCTAGCTGGCCCACTACCTTTCAGGGTTTCCCTGAATTTGCCTCCCAATTCCTGTAGGGGTAGGGTGGGCACAGGGATTACAGATGTGTGCACCTCTGCTGACAGAAACAAAGATCCGCACTTTACAGTAAGAGCACCGGAGACTCAGAGTTGCCAAAGCAAGGCAGTTTAATTTACAATTTTGCAAAGTTGAATGTCATCCAAGAATGGCAGTCTCGCTGATTGTGCACAAGGAACACAGCAAATCCCTTCCTCCCTTCCTCATTGGTTGAGTAATCAGGAGGGTCCAGTCTTATGCATCACCTAGCTCTTATCTTTCCCTCTGCCACTTAGATTTGGGTTTTTCTCAACCAAAGTTGTGAATGGGTTCATTTCTACATTTTACATACTCTTTATTTTAAAGCTTATCAGATGCATAACCATGTCATGTCTGCAGATCACTAGGGAAACTTGGTTGTTAGTAATTTTCTACTATAAACTTTTGGTTAAAGGTGGGCTGTAGCAGATCAGCAGGGTTGGAGATACCTTAGCAGGCTGTCAGCAGAGGTCCAGTGTTTCCTGTTCATCTGTGTCTCGGACCTAAACTGGCCAGAAGTGTCTTTGAAAATGAACCATCAGATTTTCTTACATTGCTTCCACGTTTTACATGGGTTCTAAAAATCCAAATTGCTAACAAACACTTTAACCACTGAGCCATGTCCCCAATCCTAGTTTTTTTTAAAAAACTGTTAGCAGAGATTGAAATAACATAAAAGGCAAAGTGGGGATGGGGGAACTGAAAAAATGGTTCAGCAGTTAGAGGCACTGACTGCTTTTGCAGTGGTCCTGAATTAGGTTCCCAGCACCCGCATGGCAGCAACAGTTATCTGTAACTCCAGTTCCAGGGGATCTGATGCCTTCTTCTGGCTTCTTTGGGCTTTGCATGCATGTGGTGCACTTGGCATACATGCAGGCAAAACACTCATGTACATGAAATGAATATCCTTCAATAACTAATAACCTACAAGACCTGGTACATACCAGGTTGACTGGGTTTTACCTCGGTGATAGACTCTTCTTTTACATCTTCCCTGCAGGTCCGCTTTTCTCACATTGGAGACTACTCTGCTTTTTGGTTTCTGATGACATGATGAATGGGAAATAAAGCCAAAATCATAGACTCTGTCCCTAGACCTTACGGAAATTCCTTGAGGCGATTATGTTTGCCACAGATGAAACATCAGTATAATAAAATTAGCTACAATCCTTTTTATGCTGTTTGAATTTCAAATGCATGAGTCCCTTGAGAATATGACATTGATTGAAGACTATAAGTAAAATACTGTATAGCTAAGGGCATGTTTTTTAATTTCCTTTACCTGTTTTATATGCTTAGGGTAAGATAAATTTCAGTCATCATGGCAAAGTTTATCAAAAAGCATATGTATAGATTATAGCAATCTATGGTGTACAGTGGTCTTTTTTAGGATGCCTGATATAGTCAGCCTAGTTTTCCAAGTGTCCAAGATTCCCTACTTTTATTTTATGTTAGTTTCTAAACTATAGTTTCTAAAAACCCAAGCACAGAAGAATCCCCTAGCATTTTATATAGGGTCTCAGAAAAACATTTCTTTGAACCGCTCCGTGAAACTGTCCCCTGACCTCCAAATGCATACACACACACACACATACACACACACACACACACACACAATAGTAATAAATAAATAAATAAAATTTAAAATACATTTATATGTTTTAAAAAAACATTTCTCTGGAGGTTATTATACACTGACAGAAAAATTAAAACATCATGATAAAAATTTGTACAATGAGAGCTGGCTAGGGAGATGGCTTAGTGAGTAAAGGACCTGAATTCAAATCCCCAGAATGCACATAAATCCAGGTGTGGTAGTGCATGTGTATTATCCCAGTGCTCCTTTGGTAAGATAGGAGGCAGAGGTAGGAGACTAACCAGAAACTTGCAGGCCAGCTAGCCTGGCACGTGCAGCAGCAAACAACAGAGAGATCCTGCCTCAAACAAGGTAGAAGGCAAGGACTGACACCTGGGGTTGTCCTCTGACCTTCACATGTATGCTGTGGCATGTTGTGTCAGAACTCACACTCATGAACATGAACACACATACACACACACACACACATATACACACACACATACACTAATGGTCTATGCTTTCAGGCTTCCCATATTTTGATCAGATTGGTCCAAGAAAGCCAGTTTCTTCTCATATTATGCAAACATTTCATAGGTATTTGCTGGGTACCTACTTTATACCAGCAACATGACAGCCACTGGCACACTGGTTGTGGTTATGAAATTTTTATCCCAGTCAATTCCATGGAGAGATAAGTAGGATAAAATAACATAAACTGAGGGTTATATGTCCACTGTGGGTGTGAGGACTTTATCTGGGTGCTTGGCTCTTCATGTTAAGGGTCTCACAGGACAGGCCTCCCAGACAGAGAGAAGGGATGTTGCAAGTACCAGGTATGTAGGACTTGCTAACTGCATTTTGTGTTACAACTAAAGAATTATTTTTAATATTTCTATTTATGTATACCTGTATATCCACGTGGGAGTATGTACACTTGAGTGCAGTGCCTGTGGAAGCCAGAAGAGGACATCAGATTCCATGGAACTGGAGTTACATGGGTGCTGGGGACTGAACTTGGGTCCTCTGCAAGAGCAGTTTGTGCTCTAAGCACTGAGCCATCTCTCTAGCCCCATAATCTTTTTCAATTGAGGTTCTTGAGCCTTAATTCTCCAAAATTGAATTATTGGAATAGAGAGCTTAATATTGTATGACTTCTATAATAGATATTATATGTGTGATAGGGATCTATGTATATGTGTTTATGCAGTGCAATCTCTGATTTATACTCCCGACATTGATGTACAAGAAAGACCCGTTTAACTTTTTTTCATTTTGCCTTTTAATATCTTTTTTTCCTTTTCTTTTAAAGCAAATGACAAAGACCCAATTTGCCAGTTTTAAACCTAAGCTCATTACATATTTAAACAGTTGTCGGAAATGGCGAAGTCACCAGCATTCGTGCACAACTAGAAAACAGCCTTAATTTATATTAAACCAGAAATGTATTACCACTGACACAGAAATAACCGTCATCACTAAACACTGAAGGAACTGAAACACTTCTGTGGAAGATTCCTCCTGGCAAGGTTAACTTCACACCCGCTGACACTAGGGCTCACATCAACACAACTGAAGCGGATCCATGCTGATGTTAGAGAACAGTCTTCTCCTAGCACTACTGAGCTCACCTTGGATTATGTTTTTAAAAAGCAAAGTGCATACAGAGATTACAATAATTTTAAAGACAAAAAATGGTCCTATTGTGTGGTCCCAACAACAAGCTCAAAAGTCTACGACAAACAGGGGTTCCAATGAGCTGTTTATAAGTACTTTAGGTACAGTTATACTGAAAGTCCAGTTCATTTGAAATCTTCAAAAAAAAAAAAATGCTCCTGTTAATCCTCAAACGGTGCTGTTACTAACATTCTGTTAACTGCCTGAGTTGAATTACTTGTTATCCAAGCGTAGCAGCTGCTCCTTCCCACCTACCATCAAGGACTCTAACTGGCTGTCTTCCTCAACTTCTACTCTCTCTTGACCATTCTCCACATTTCTTTTTGTAGTGATTTTTCTGCCATTAACTATTTTAGTGGAAGTTGATATTGACTTCAAGTTGCCCATCCCACTGCCTCCAAACGAGTTGAAGAGAAGGAAGTGAGACCCCCGTGACCGGGTAATCTGAACTGAGTGAATCCTGTATCGAATGAAGAAAATCCACTTCCAAATGATGGAAATCCACTGAAGGCTGAGAAAAAGGAGCCCGTGCCTCTGTTTCTGCTTCCTCGGGCATCCCTTCGGTTATCAAAAAAAACATTAAATGGGTCTTCAAGGAAATAGAATGAAAATGGGTCCCTGCCACCAAAAAATTCCCTGAAGACATCATCTGGATTGTGGAATGTGAAGCCAAACTCAGACGGACTGTCAAAGTGACCTCCCCCACCTCCTCCTCCATCTAATCCTTCTTTGCCATATTTGTCATAGATGTCCCGCTTCTAGCATCTGATAATACCTCCTAGGCCTCTGCTACTTTTTTGAACTTTCGCTCTGCTTCTTTATTCTCGTGATTTTTATGTGGGTGCCACTTGAGTGCCTGCTTCCTGTATGCCTTTTTGATATCCTCGAGTGAGGCATGTCTCTGCACGCTCATAACTTCATAGTAACCCATCATGTTTTAACAGATTGTTGGAACAAATCTGAGACTCGGAGGCCAGAAGGGGAAGGCGGCCGATCTCCTCATGGCTCCAGCACGGCTGTCGCCTTTTAATATCTTTTAATAATTTAGTTATAATAAAGTTTAATAATAGCTTTTAAAATAATATGCCATACTTTTAAGTATAATATTGGAAAATTCAGAGGTTTAGGTAACAAATATGTAAGTCATCAAACAAAAATACAGCTGGGGCAGTGGTATACACCTTTAATTCAGGCACTCAGGAGGCAGAGGCAGGCAGATCTCTGTGAGACTGAAGCCAGCCTGATCTACATAGTGAGTTCCAGACCAGCTAGGGATAAAGGGAGTCCCTATCTCAAAAAAATAAACAAATAAATAAAAAAGGGAACTAATGACCCCACCCACCAGACTGTATCACTGACAGCCCCTCTTCCATCTCATTCCCCACCTCTTCCTCACTATACACCCACACACACAAAGTAACATCATCCTGAATTCTATGTCCATTTTCCTCTTGTCTTTCTTTTAAAATAATTTTATCACAAATATATATGTGACTGAAAATACATTGCTGACATTTTTAGCTTTATAAAAATGGCATCATGCTAAATAGGGTTCTTTAACTTATTATTGTTACTCACTATGTTTCTAACATTCATCTGTACTGTGGAATACAACTGGAATTCATTCAGATTTCATGGCCATTGTTTTACCGTTGGGTTGTTTCCAGTTTTTCAGTGTGAACCCATATTACCAGTTCACAAAATAACTTAATATATCAAAAAGTATTTGAGATAATGCCAAATAGTTTTCCAGTGTGGATGTTCAGTGCAGCCCATAAATATCCTCATTAACTCTCATCTTCTCCAACACTTGATATGGTTAGAAGTCTGGATTAGGAGCAATCTACTGCATATAAAGCATTCATATGGTCCTACTTGGTGTTCCCCTGGTTACTGAGGAGATGGACATCTCTTATATGGTTAGATACCAGACATGTTTTCCCTTTTGTGAAATGTCAGTTCATATCTTTTGCTATTTTTCCTCAGCTGTGCGTTATCATTTACCCTGTTGATTTGTAGGAAATTGCATACTCTATTCACCAACCTTTTGTTGGTCATATATATTAAAATATGTTCTCCCAAGTGTAGCCTAACCATTTTCTTTTGGCATCTTTTGGAAGAAGTCTTAGTTTTTCAAGTAGTCATCCTTGTCTTAATTAGCTTTCATTGTCAACTTGGCACAGCCTAGAATCATCTAATAAGAAAGCCTGACTGAGGAATTATCTTGCTTATTTGCTGATACAGGAGAATTTAGCTCACTGTGGGCAATACTATCTGGGAGGCTGGTCCTGAGCTGTATAAGAAAGCTAATTTAGCATGAGCCTATAGTGAGCAAACCAGAGAGGGAACCAGCAAGCAGTGTTCCTCCATAGTTCCCACCTCCAGGCTCCTGCCTTGAGTTCCTGACTTCCTCCAATGATAGGCTGTGACCTGTAGAATGAAACTAAACCCTTCCCTCCCCTAAGTTGCTTTTTTCAGGGTGTTTTATCACGGTAACAGAGATGAAATTAGAACAACCTCCTTTTCCATGTATTACTGTGTCTTGCTTCAGAAATACAAGGAACTGGAGAGATGGCTCAGTGGTTAAGAGTATTTCTGCTCTTTCAGAGGACTCACGTTTGGTTCCCAGCACCTGTCAAATGACTCACAATCACCTGTAACTCCAGCTACAGGGAATTCAGTGCCCTCTTCTGGCCTCTGCAGGCACCTGCACAAATATGTACATACCTACATAGAAACACACACACACAAATTAAAAATGAAATAAATCTTCATAAAAAATAAAAGAAATTCAGCAATTATAAGGTATATTACTGTGGTGCACCTTCCTAGGTAAGGAAGTGGTATATTACTTACCTGTGCACCTTCCTAGATTTGATTCTCAGCACAGAAGGAAAGAAGAAAGGAAGGAATGGAGGAAGAGAGGAAAGGGAGAACAGGAAGAGGAGAAGAAAAAATTCTTCCACATTTTGCTCTAAAACTATTCAATTTCTGCTTTTCACATTATAAATACTTAACTGAAATATGTTTTTGTGTTTTGTGAAAGGTAAGAAGCCAATTTCAATTTTAGTCATGTGCATACTCAGATGTTCTGGAATCATTCTGCAAATCATTCCTTTTTCCTTTGATTATCTCTAATGCCACCTCTTATCTATCAAAGACCCATAGATACATGAGCTTCTCTCTGAGTTCAGTTTACTCTCCTGGTCCATTTATCTATCCTTGCACCAACTGCAATACATGAATGCCACAGATTTAAAATGTATTTATGTCAGCTAGGGAAAGGCAATTTCCCTGAGCTTCTGGGCCATTTTGACCCTTTCCTCTTCTGTATAAATTTTAGAATCCATCTGTCAATTTCATGAAAATCTCATTCAGTTTTAAGGGGGATCCAGGGAGAATTTACAATTTTATTACACTAAGGATTCTTATCCAAAACCATGAATATTTAAATGGTCTTTAATATCCTGCAATAAGATTTTATAATATTCTCTGTGTAAGGCTTTCATACCTTTGGTTAGTGTTACCTCTAGCTCGGGGGTCAGCTTCCCATGAAAGTTCACTCTCATCCTCATGGGCATGGGGCTACCCAATAAGGGACTCCACTCCATTCATCCCAGGATTGATAGTGTTGTTTCCAAGAACTACCTGCTGAAAGGAACGCCTCTCCTAGATGTCATCCTTTCCTTGCATGGTGCTGACCTCAGCGTGGAAACAGGAATGACCAGTCTTAATCATTCAGATGACAGCAGGGCTCATGAGAATGATCTAGCAGAGATGTGGAAGGAGCCTCTGTCTATAAAAGACTAACTAAAGCAGAGCTGGCCTACAGGGCAAACCAGCTATGTGAAGAACTTCTCTCTTATTGAGGCTGTGGTATTTGGGAGTATCTTATTATATACAGTATGAGATCTTTTTATACAGTTAGATTCACAGTAGTGATGTTTTCCCTAGGATTTTTTATGGTGCCAATTTTAAATAGTTTTATTCAAGACGTTGCATTCTCCATTTATAATACAGTGCTTATAAAGTGAAATGTCATTTCTTCTTGCTGTGCACATGCTCATATTCAAGTATTGAGAATGCCCAGCAATTGATTATAGCAGTTCAACTTTAAAGCTACTCCAGAACTTGCTAAATTTGGGTCCTACAAATATTTTTGGGTCTTTTTGAAATGGTCTCCCTGTAGCCCCAGCTGGCCTGGAATTCACTATGTAGACCAAGCTGGCCTCGAACTCCTAGAGATCCTCCTGCCTCTGCCTCCCAAGTGCTGGGATTAAAAGCATGTGCCACCACAACTGGCTGGGTCCAGAAATATTTTACTGTGGAACAATGCCACATCTCTGCTTGGACTGACAATCAACCTCTTCGATGGTGAGCCCTGAAGAAGCACCACCAGAGAGTGGAGCACCCCCACCGGGGAAGCCCCCAGGCCTTCCTCCCAGCATGCAACCAGCAGTCTGGTACATTCTGATAATGATGGATTTGCAGACTTTCTCCAGGTCTTTCTACTGGTGTTCAAATTCTTCCTTCTTGGCAATCGGATCCATTTGTCCTCATCATTGACCTTATCTTGAAGTTTCCCATCTTCACCTGTTGCTTTCATGTTGAAATCATAGGACTCCAGAGAGTTCTTGGATGATAGTTTGTCTCTTTGCGTCTCATCTTCAGCTTTGTACTTAGCTTCCTGAACCATGGGCTCAGTATCCTCCTTGTTCAAGCCACCCTTGTCATTGGTGATGATAATCTTATCTTTCCTGTACTCTTACCTATGGCAGAAACATTGAGGATGTGCCATTGACATCAGTATCAAAAGTGACTTCAATCTAAAGAATACCTCAGAGTGAAGAAGGTATACTTGTGAATTCAAATATTCCAAGCAAGTTATTATCCTTGGTCATAGCTCTAATAGGTGAGTGGAGAAAGTATTGATTTTTAAGTTTTCTTAGATGTAGTTATTAGCTTATTGCTGTAACTAGTTCCCAGGCTGAACTTTGCCTAGTATTTCAATGATTTCTTAATGTTATGTAATGAAATGGTCATTTTTGTAGTTAAATTTGCCCAATTTTTCTTCTCCTTTTGAATGTAACTAATTCTGAAATTCAATTTCCCTTTCTGTTTTTCTAAAACTTTTAAAATCTATAATTCTATAATCTGCTGGAATGAGAAAGGCAGATTAATCATTCAGCACAATATATGTGAGAACTCTAATTTAATTCTATTTCCAACTGGAAAAAAAATGTTTAAGTTGAAAACTCACTAAGCTTATGTAGTAGGTACTCTTCCAGCTAACATGTTTGTTTTTTCACTTTAAATTTTTAATTAAATTAGCATACCAATTTAACTATTCCAATTATGTTGTGTTTAACCAAGCTGAAATTAAGCTTTCCTTGGCTGTACAACTCTCTAAATTTAAATTTACCAGCACCTCCTAGTAACTCACATCGCTCTTCATTAGACAAAATAATGTAGTTGCTTCTAAAAAATTATTCCCAGTATCTGTTTGATCCCAAAATCTTCTGCTGTGTCCAACCTAGAATTGAGTGGTGGATGTAGACTAGAAAGCTGAGGGTGTGCAGTAGCAGAGCGCTTACCTAGAATGTACAAAGCTCTGCATTTGATCCCTATTGCTGAATAAAAAAGGCATAGCAATAATAAAATGAGAAAAAGATATAGTGCATTATTTGAAAGAGCAGAAAACCGTTGTGTGAGTAGCACCCCCATACTGAAACTGTGCTGTTGTGGGGAGGGGGAATGCCATGTGTCCTTCAGAAGAATTTTCCCCGATACCCCTGGGTGGAATTTGTTGAAGCCCACAGCAGTGTGCATGCAGGACTTGGCCTGCTGTGTGCTTTTGCTTACATGTGTGTTTGTCCTCTTTGGTCCACACCTTGGTCAATTCTAGTTAGCTGGCACTTAGCACATAGGAGATGG